GAGGCCGCCCACAAGAGCAGCGCGAAGATGCCGCCGTTGGTTCCGATGTCCCACGATTTGGACTGGGTAAGGTCAATCTCCAGCACTTCTGCCATAGATGCCTCACGTGTTTCACCCCGTGGACCCTGAACTCTGCACCCAGTCAAGGTCTTGATCGGATCTGAGGATTCCCCCTTCCCGGAGAACAAGTGCACAATCCATCGGCGGCTTGCCCACAAGGATCTCCGTCTTGCGCGATTCAATGGGAGCGACTTCATCAACTTCCAGGCTTCCTCGTTGCTCTGCGGGATTTTCTCGAAGATCCGGATCTTGTCCTCAAACGGCACGTCCGACATGAACTCCGCGCTCAGAACGGCTCGCAGACCATCGGAGGGATCCCCCGTTACGACGTAGTCCTTCAAGAAATCCGCCCAGTTCCTTCCCTCATGCGACCTTGCCACCTTGATCGACGTCTCCAGTTCCTGCATGGTCCTCAGCGCCTCGTCGGCCTTGGTGCCCTCCAACTCCGCAATGAGCCTCAAAGCATCACACTCTCGGACTTCCGGGCACGACGACCGCGTGTAGACTTGTACTTCAGGTCGGCTGGGGTGTCTCAATCTGCATCCGCGCGCGTTCCAGACGAACTCATACCCCAGCTGTCTAACAAGGGTTCCAAGGGGCACAATTGGTTGAGCTTGGTTGTCCCCCAAGATCGTTCCCTTGTCCGACTGAGGCAACTCAATCTTGGTGTCCCCAGCCAGCGCAACTTCCACCTTCGCGGCCTTCTTCTTCTCCTCCACAGTGCCTGGTCGTAGTGCATGAGTAGCCCCACTGTCCAACAGCCCCATTTTGCTAACTGCTGGCAACGTTCCCAGTGCCTGAGCTCTTCGCACCTCCTCACTCTCAGCCGAGGTGATACGCATCACCTTCATCGTGGCGCTGTGCTCCATCAAGGACTTGACCATTTTCTGCGCATTCTCCAACATCTGTTGCATGTCCATAGGCGTGCCAGGTATGGGGTCATCTAGCGTAGATCTCGTTGCCATAGGAGTCGACGCCATCGTACTCGCCTCCGATATCACCGTGGCCACATCATCCGCCTTGATCATTTTCTGGGTCTCGGGCTGCATCGGCTTCGCCTGCACTTGCGCTGCCGTTGGAGTTGTAGGTGTAGAGGCCGATGCAGTCGTGGTAGTACCCTCCGCCGGCCTTGTAGGACACGCCTTCGATTGATGTCCCTTCCCACCACAGTTCCAGCACCGTTCTCTCTTTGCATCCCGGTCCAGCCAACTATGGACAAACCGGCATGCCTTTCCACGTCTACACCCACCATCCGTAACACCAAAAAACTTGCAAGGTTTTTGAGATCCAGCACTGTCTCCCTTGGGTTGGTTGTTGGCTGCCCCACCTGCAAGACCCTTCAGTCTGGCCTGAGGACTGTTAGGCGTGGTCGATGGCGAGTTGTTGCCCGGCACCCCCTTTGGTTTTCTGGAGGCCAGCTGCTCAAACTCCGCCAGGAGAGCCTTATGCACCGCCTTCACGTTGTCCTCCACCGGCACGAAGTCGACCTTCAGTTGGTAGCGGACCAGGTTCATACGAAAGGCCACCTCATGGTGGTCCAACAGTGGCTTCTTCACCAAGACGTCGATACCTCGAAGTAGCACCGACGGGTCTGGTATCACCACCCCCAAATCCTTTGCCCTCTGGAAGTACCTCCACCACAAGCGCAGACCATCCACAGCCTCAGCTGCAGTACTTGTCGCTGGCGGCGACTCCAAGTGGCGCAGCAAAGAACTCTTCTCCATCGCAGATCCCGGGCACCATCAAGCGGCTCAGAATTTCCAGCGAAGATCTCACTCTCGACGCCACAAGTTCCCGCCTGATGTCCTCAGGCGTCGATGCCAACAAGAGCGTGGCCGCCCTCCGATCAACGCGCTGCCACCTCGCCTCCTGCAGCACAGGGGAAGCCAAGGGTGCTAGGTTGAGCCGATTGAAGTGATCTGCCTTCTGGTAGGAGTCATAGTACGCCTTGGCACAGTCCTTTACTTCCTGCCACCATTCCGCCGACGAAGTTGAGAGGTCTCCCATAGCGTGCTCCAGGCAGTGGAGCCAGTCCCCAAAGTCCACACTCGCGCTATCACTCAAGGCGGGAAGCATCGGAATGTCTCCCACCGGCTTGTGCACATCCTCGGTTCTCTGGGACTTCGTAATCACCCGCTCCAAACCTTCCAACAGCCTGCTCATGGGATCACCTCCAGGACCAAGTGACGGCTGCCCCCTTTCTCCTCCCGACTCCGGCAGTGCCTCTGCAGATGCCACAGCCGGTGGTTGTTTTGATTGCACAGCACCTCCTGATTGACCAAGGTGCCCTCCCAGAACTTGTGGTGGACCTCGTGGATAGACCAACGGCTGCTCTTGACCTCCTGCTGCGTCACTCTGACCATGTGGCATAAAGCCAAAACGACCTCCTGCTGCGTCACTCTGACCATTCAAAAAACGACCAGGTAGCGGACCAGGATTGCCTCGAGATTCGGTGGAAGCTCCTTGCTGAACTGGACGTAAAGCATCTAAACTTCCCCCAGGTAGCGGACCAGGATTGCCTCGAGATTCGGTGGAAGCTCCTTGTTGAACTGGAGGTGAGCCATCTAAACTTCTCCCAGGTAGCGGACCAGGATTGCCTCGAGATTCGGGGAAAGCTCCTTGCTGAACTGGAGGTAGCGGACCAGGATTGCCTTGAGATTCGGGGAAAGCTCCTTGCTGAACTGGATGTAGCGCACCAGGATTGCCTCGTGGCCCAAGTTGGCCCGACGGACCCGGCAAGGCCCCCACCAGACCATTCCACAAGTGTTGGCCCCATCCCTGCCCAGGACGAGACCTTGCTGCATGTGGCCACTGCCCTTCTCCCATGCGTTCTCGCTCCAATTGCATCCTTCCCATCTCTTCTCTCAAGCTACTTGCTTCCCTTTTCGACTCCTCCAACTCCCTCATCATCCCTTGCAGTTGTCCTTGTAGCTGCTGACGCACTTCTTCCTTCACCGCTTCATAGGTGCTTCCTCCAGAACTGCCACCACCATCCATAGGCCTCGGTCCCACCCCGGTGGCACCATACAGCAGTGGAGCTCGCTGCTCCATTGCCCTCATCTGTTGCCTCTGCTCATCATCAAACAAAGGCGTCCTCGATGCCTCATCCCGTTCCCCCTGCGACATAGGTGACTCCAATGCCCTCTGCGATCTCGACGGTCTCGTCATAGGCGATGGAAAGGGACTCGGCATCCACTCCGGGGGTGTCACCTGCTGTGACTGCCCCATAGCCTGGAAGAAAGCTCCCAGGCGAGAAACCCAGGTCGGCATCACACCACGCGGTTGTGCCTCTCTTCCCATCGGACTGCCTTGCGCATTCCAGCTGAAACCTCCAGGTTGTGGATGCCCTCCACTATTCAGGCCATCACGCAGCATGCCCATGTCCCCAGCTTCACCGGCCGGCTCCACCTCCCTCGTCATTGAGGTTGAGGCCACCACAGCTTGCATGCCACCTGCAACCACCGCTCCAGAAGCCAGCGCCAAGGCCTGAACTCTTGCCACTTGACCACTTGTACCATGCCCAGAGTCCATGCTATCTCCAGAAACCATTGCTCCATCCACACTTCCAGCCACACCAGTGCCGCCAGCTTCCAGCGCACCATCCGGCCTTACGGCCTCCGGTTGGGCTCCATGAGCCTCTCCACCATCCAAAGCTGGTCTTACGACCCCCGGTTGGCCCCTCTCGGGCCCCGCAGCTGTTGTTGTCATTCTCGGCGAAGTAGGGCGAGCACCGCTTGGGCTCATAACCTCCTGGTCGGAGGTCCCAGGAGGCATGGAGTTTGAGGGGTTGGCCATGGCTCACAGAGTTCACTCGAATTTTTCCTTCCACAACAGCAACGACACGAAATCCTTGGCCTTACTCGTTCAGGTGCTATACCTGCGATGCCTTGTACATGTAAAAAACTGTGTTGCGTGCCCACTCCGGGCCATGTGCTTCTTTGCCCTTCACGGGCCTCGTTTTGCCCTTCACCGGGCTTGGACCGCTTCACAGCGACATGTACTTCTCTCTCTTCCTGGAAAAACGTGAGCACACCAGCAGTTTAGGGTTTAGGGTTTAGGGTTTAGGGTTTAAGGTTTAGGGTTTCCGGCTTGGCGTGCTCTAAGGCTCTTTCGGCGAGTTTGCTTGGCAATAGTTGCTGCCGTCTCCTGGTCGTACTTCGGGGTTCATGGTACTTGCTAACAAGTGATATCTGTATTTCTTTCTGTACTTGTAACCAAATAGGGCACTTAAGGGGCTTATAAGTGGGTTTTTAGTACAGTTATAACTGGTTAATAAGTACCATGAACCTCCAAGTAGTATACAGTGGAAGTAGCAGCGGTAGCCGTAGTAGTGGTGTATACATCCTCATCGGCTAGAGTCACAGAAGGCATGCCGCCCTCATGGAATTTCTGTTGTCGTGTAGCTGTGGTAACCCTACAGCTAAACCCTAAACCCTTAACACTAAACCCTAAACCCTTAACCCTTAACCCTAAACCCTAAACCCTAAACCTAAACCCCAATTCAGAGCAGCAGCAGGACTAGCAGCGAAAGGTGCTGGCTCATGCCCCTGCAAGACATAGGCCCTTCACAGCCACCCTGAGCAATCCCGAAGTTATGTATGACAGGGTTTAGGGTTTAGGGTTTAGGGTTTAGGGTTTAGGGTTTAGGGTTTAGGGTTGACAGTCGACACTAAGACTTTTAACAGTCCCACAGCTTCACATTCTCAGGTTGCACGCAAAAAACACCAGCACTCCGAGCAGACTACGCCCAGAGGGTTGCAGCTCTTCATCTGAGTAGTGACCCGACCGTCAGGCGCGTTGTTGAGCGTCTAGGGCCCTGGAGGGTTTAGGGTTTAGGGTTTAGGGTTTAGGGTTTAGGGTTTAGGGTTTAGGGTTTAGGGTTTAGGGTTTAGGGTTTAGGGGTGCGTTAGCCTATTTTCTGAAGTGCCCTCCACAGCACCATGGGGAAGAAAGTCCTTCAAGCCGGTAACATGGTGGCCATCTTCGCGGCACGGCTCCCAGCTTCTTTTTTTGTAAGAGAGAGGGTACTCTAAATGCTAATCCTAAACCCTAAACCCTATATACCCTATAAACCCTAAACCCCAAACCCTAAACCCTAAACCCTATAAACCCTAAACCCTAGAAACCCTAAGCTCCGTAAACCCTATAACCCTAAAGTGCAGTGTTGAGAGCTGTGGTGGACTGAGAGCTCAGGATATTTCAGGTGCAGGGGTTCTGTCTGCAGCCTGTATCACTGTATCAACAAGCAGCTAAACCCTAAACCCTAAACCCTAAACCCTAACCCCTAAACCCTAAACCCTAAAAGAAGACGCTTCTTGAACGCTTCTTGTTCCAGAGCTCACGGAGCTCCATGCAAACCTTCTAAAAGCCGAATCCCGGAGGCTCTTTATTCCCAGAGACTCCCGTATCCCTTAATTACGGACCCTAAACCCTAAACGCTAAACCCTAAACCCTAAACCCTAAATCATATTCGGGATCCTTTTTATAATTTGAGGTATAGTCCTTAATCAAGGGATACTGGAGTCTCTGGGATTGTTTATAGGTACTTCAGGGGCAAGTATTCCCTTTGTGGGGTTCCTGGACCCCCATAAAGAAATATTGGAAACATAATTCCGAGACCCTAGAGCCTGAACCCTAACCCCTACACGCCATACCCTAAACCCTAAACCCTACACGCTATACCCTAAACCCTAAACCCTAAACCGATACTGTTCAGTGCGATCCCCCTTCCACTTGTTGACATCGGCCTTAGGTTTATGGTTCAGGCTTCCATGATGAACAGCACAGCACTTTAGGGTTTAGGGTCTCGAGCGTACCAACAAGTGTCTGCCCAGCGAACAGAGATGGGCAGGACAGAAGAAGAAGAAGAAGAAGAAGACAAAGAAGAAGAAGAAGAAGAAGAATAATACGAATAATAATAAGAATAAGAAGAAGAATAATAATAAGAAGAAGAGTTTCTGCCGCAGCTTTGCATTGTAGATCGTAGATGTGCCCTCCCTTCACCTCCGACCGCGAAACCTCAAAGTCAATCACAAGCACAAACGAGCTCCAACGCGGGTGCGAGCCCTAATCCCTGAACCCTAAACCCCTGAACCCTTGAAACCCAGCCCTAAACCCTAAACCCTAAACCCTGAACCCTGAACCCCTGAACCCCTGAACCCTGAACCCCTGAACCCCTGAAACCTAGCCATCCTATTGAAACCCTAGCCCCTTGAAGCCTCAACCGTTTCACTTCCTGAGCCCTACACCCGCCCCCCTACACCCTGGCTTAAACCACTTAGGGTTTTGGGTTTTGGGTTTTGGGTTTTGGGTTTTGGGTTTAGGGTTTAGGGTTACCCTAAAACTCTACAGCCCAAAAGTCAAAAGCAACACCGTAAATCCTAAGCACATCTCTTCGAGGTTCTTGGCTACGTCGTGTGCCTCTTCTTGCCGCTCCACAAGGAGCGCGGGCGCAACAAAGCAGGGTTCAGGAATCCTTAAACCAACCCTAAGCCCCAAACCCCAAACCCTATAAACCCCGAACCCTATAAAAAAACTCCAAACCCCAAACCCTATAAACCCTCAACTAAACCCTACAAACCCAAAACGCCATAAACCCATTTGGCTTCCCAGGCTCACAAAGGTTAAGGTGCAAGTGTGTTGGTTTAGGAGGTCTGGATTCAGAAATCTTAAGTTAGGGCTGTCGGGCTTAAGACTTGTTGGGGTTTAGGATTTAGGGTTTAGGGTTTGGGGTTTAGGGTTTAGGGTTTAGGGTTTAGGGCGTTAGGGTTTAGGAGTATCAAAGTCTAGTGTTGTAGGAGTTTCGAGGGGATGCCGTGGATGACGACCATGACGTCCGCTTCCATAGTCGCTCGAGTTGGACCCTGCTCTCACCTGAAGAGCCATTACTATAGGATTTAGGACTTAAGGTTTAGGGTTTAGGGTTTAGGGTTTAGGCTTTAGGGGTCGGAATTGTTGCTAATAATATTCCCTCCATGGCCCCTTTGTAATTTTACTATCAAGATCTCCAAACACCTATTCTAATCATTAAGGTCCCTATACTATTTCTTTTGTTTTTGATTTCGGGTTTAGGGTGGCGGTAGGGGTTCATGTTAAGGGGGGGGGGGTGTAGATGGACCCTCTTGGGTTTATGTCTAGTGTACCGAAGTTGCGGCACATGCGATACATCCTCGAGGGGTACACCGCTTTCATTGGAGATATTCCAGTCCTGCGCCGGTGTTGTGTGCTTCAAGCCATACCCTAACCACCCCCCCCCCCAAAAAAAAAAAATAATAAAATAAAATAAAAAAAAAGAAAAACATATATACACACACACACACAAAAGACGAAATCAAGAAACTAAACGGAAACCATGAACCTGAATCCTCCCTCAAGGCTCCAATGCTTCCCGCTCCAAGAACAACGGGTCCATTGTACCAATCTTAATACTTTTGCAGACCGCATAGGGGTCGACTGGGGTTTCGGGCTTAGGGTTTAGGATCTACGTATTCCAGGGCGCAAGTATCACCTCAAAAGTACTTCTTTCTGCTTTTGGGAAGAAGCCCTAAACCCTAAACCCTAAACCCTATACCCTAAACAAGGCCTACTTTCAAAGTCTTGCTGGCTTCTTGTCGGCGACCCAGTGGATGCAGGAGTCAGGGTGGAGCTGAATGCCCAGCTGGGAGGTTCATGGTACTTGTTATCCAATAGGGTTTAGGGTTTAGGGTTTAGGGTTTAGGGTTTAGGGTACGTATTATCCAGCTAGAGCTGCACTCATAACCCACTCATAAGCCCCCTAAGTACCAAAAGATGGCTTTAAGTACAGTTATAAGTACAGTTACAATTGGTTAACAAGTACCATGAACCTCCAGGAAGGGTATAAACAATTTCCCGGGTTGAGGGATCCTGAGCCCAATGCCCTCATAACTCTGGGGTTTAAGGGTTTAGGGTTGAGGGTTCAGGGTTCAGGGTTTAAGGGTTAAGGGTTTTTAGGGTTTAGGGTTTAGGGTTTCGGGTTTAAGGGTTGAGGGTTAAGGGTTTAGGGTTCAGGGTCTACTTTTTGGATCTTTGGCAAACTATTAGTGTATGATACCGTAGTGTTTAGGGTGTCTGGTGATGTTCACCGCTTTTGGGTTCGCAGGGAATACCGCCGAGACTAGCGAAAATGAGGCAGGAGCAGATATGTTTCACTTCGACCTCTTGCAATTCGCCAGTTGATAGCATTTGCAGCATGAGTCCTTGTGCAGATCGACCCTCCTCAACAAGAGTGCATGTCTTCGGACTTTTTTAAGTTGGTTGTATCCGAAACCCGAAACCCTAAACCCGAAACCCTAAACAACCCGAAACCCCAAACCTTGTAAACCCCTCGTTGGGGACAGCCGCGCGACCTCACTCAGGCGCGTTGTGGATGTAACGACGTACTCCATGACCGTGTACTACGACTGGCATAGCAGACTTGTCGGACGCCCAGAGTCTTAGTAGGGAGCGAGGGAATGAGGTACTGTACATCCCCTAAGCATACATATACCCTAAACCCAAAACCCTAAACCCTATACCCTCTAAGGGATTCTAGAGGGCACCTTAGTCCTTCATTCCCTGCGACAGTACTGAGCAAGCCCTTGCTTGTGCACAACTGTAACCCTAGACCTTCGTGGGTGTTTCCAGGGCTTCACTGCCTTCAAAAACAGCAGCTTGCAACGACCTACGAATCCTGAACCCTGCACCCTGAACCCAAAACCCTAAACCGCCTACGACATTCTTGACAGTGGCCTATCTCTACCATCGTGTCAATGTGGAGTGGTCTTCCTGCAACATACTGGTTCTTATTAGGGAATGAAGGAATGAGGTACCCCATAGACAAAGAGTCCATGTGCCTAGTTAGGGGTTGCTTGGGCTTTAAAGTACTTGCTATCTAGGGACCTTGGGGTAGAATAGTCAGGTGCATGGATCCTAAACCTAATCCCTAAACCCCAAACCCTACGGTACATGTAGGATGTATGGCGCCTCATGCCCATATTCCGTTCTAAGGGCAAGCCCAAGCTGGGGTAACAAGCGCGCAAGAGCGCGGTTTAGGCTTTAGGGCTTAAAAGTTTAGGGTGTAGGGTGTAGGGTTTAGGGTTTCTGGTACGTGGGTGTGGGAGTGATCACTGCCTGGGGCGATGCCCATCAATGAAGCAAGCTAGTAGCTGATCGAGTACACTTTACGCTTCTGGGGATACTACAATCCCCTGTAGAACTGAAAGTGTACACTTTCTTGGGGGGCTTATGAAATCAGCAACTACATCTTAGATTTTTTTGTATATGTATACGCACAGGAGTCATAAATCACAATTGACTGATTAACCACCATTAATAAACCAAATATGAATGGACGTAAATAAGTAAACAAGCAAAAAAGCAAATAAATTCATAAACAAATAAATAACTATATATAAAAATAAATAAATAAATAAATATATATATATATATATATATATATAAATAAATTCATAAATAAAAAAGTAAATAAATAAATAAATATATATATATATATCTGCATAACAACCACGAAGTAAAACTATCGACGAAGCCCCATGCCTGCCTTCGGGCTGCCCCTTGGCCCCTCAGGTCTGAATTGAGGGTTTAGGGTTTAGGGTTTAGGGTTTAGGGCTTAGGGTTTAGGGTTTAGGGTTTAGGGTTTAGGGTTTAGGGAGTTGAGGGTTTAGGGTTTAGGGAACCCTTAAACGCCTTGAAGCGGACCACGCCCCAGGCTTGCTGGTTCGTTGGGCGCCTGGTTGAGTGCGAGTTCTGCGGTGTCAGGGCTTGCTGAGCTAGGATGCCCAGTAGTACCCTTATTCCCTTTTTTTTTTTTGGGGGGGGGGGGGGGGGTTAGGTTCCCTTATAAACCCCTTTAAGCAAAAAAGGGGCACCCTTTTTAAGCCTAGGTTACTAGGCAGCCTAGAGGTTCATGGTGCTTACTAGCCAACTATACTTAGGGTTTAGGGTTTAGGGTTGAGGGTTTAGGGTTTAGGGTTTAGGGTTGAGGGTTTAGGGTTTAGGGTTTAGGGTACTTTTTAACCAATTGTAGCTAAACTTATATCTGTACTTATAGCCATATTAGGGCACTTAAGGGGCGTATAAGTGGGCTGTAAGTACAGCTATAATTGGTCAATAAGTACCCTAATCCCTGAACCCTAAACCCTAAACCCTAAACCCTAAACCCTTAAGGCCCCATATAAGTACCGTTGGAACCTCCAAGTAGCAGAAGGACTCGGAGGTGGGCGTTTCATCCCTCAAAGAGTGGGTCCTCTCTTTGAGATCTGGGCCTTGGGATGTTCGAGGTTAGGGCAAAGGGCGTGAAAGATAGGGTTTAGGGGTTTAGGGTTTAGGGTTTAGGGCAACTGGCTTGTAAGATAGGGATGAAGGTAACCAGCTGTTCTAAACCCTAAACCCTAAAACCCTCAACCCTAGACCCTAAGCCCTAAGCCCTAAACCCTAAACCCTAACCCTAAACCCTACACCCTAAGCACCGTGGTTCTGCACGCACTGCGGGCCAAGGTTCGCAAGATACGAGGAGGCGCCAACGACATGTGCGAAGATGAGGGGTCCACCTCTGTCTGGTTGCAGGAGCGCCGCTCTCTTTTTGTTTCTAAGGGTTTAGGGTTTGGGGCTTAGGGTTTAGGGTTTAGTGTTTAGGGTTTAGGACACTTGAGCCCTGAAGGGACCAAAGAAATCTAAGGGCTGTAGTCCTGAAACTCCACGTCCTGAGCCCTGACAGTCCCAAGGCCCTGTAACCGTGTAGTGTTTAGGGTTGAGGGTGTAGGGTTTAGTTAGGGTTTAGGGTTAGGGCTGAGGTTTCAGGGTTTAGGATTTGGTTTGTCAGCTTGCTTAAGGGTCCACGTATCTTAAACTGTATACGTATACTTGAACCCGTAAGGCTACTCTAAACGAACCCCTGTCAGGCTCGAGTATGTTGGGTGCATGGATCCCTTTGGGCGGTGAAGCTCCATGTCTTGAGATGTTTCGGGCTCACGGGCCCTGGAGTTAGACAAAGTTTAGGGTTTAGGGTTTAGGGTTTAGGCTCTCTGCATGCCACAAGCCACAAGATGTAGGGTCCCACACGCAGACCCTGATTTTCGGAACGCCCTGAGCCCTATGAGCCCTGACCGACGTTTAGAGGTAGGCTTACTCCAAGTGTGCGAAGCCAAAGGCCTAACTCAGGGTTGCGAGGGTTTCGGGTTTAGGGTTTAGGGTTTAGGGTTTAGGGTTAGGGTTTAGGGTTTAGGGTTTAGGGTTTAGGGTTTAGGGTTTAGGGTTTAGGGTTTAGGGTTTAGGGTTTAGGGTTTAGGGTTTAGGGTCTAGTTTCGGGCTTGGAGGGTGTAGGGCTTCTTCGGCATGAGATTCGTCAATGGTTGAGGTGTATGGAGACACTTTAGTTTAGGGTTCAGGGTTCAGGGTTCAGGGTTTAGGGTTTAGGGTTTAGGGTTTAGGGTTTATGGGTAGAAGGTTCTTGGGAAGCCCGTGCAGGACACACAGGCATCGTGCGGGCCTCAAGCATCAGGAGACTGCAGCGCCAGGCAACCAGAATGAGAGTTGACAGCAATGATATTTAAGAGCCTCCGGCTCAAGCCGCCGACCCGCTGGAGCATAGTTGAAAGGTTTAAACGCGTTCGTTAGGTCACAGGATGCCAAAGTTGGTGGGGGGGGGGGGTAGGGGGGGGGGTAGGGGGGGGGGGGGGGGGGGGGGGGGGGGGGGGGGGGGAGGGGGGTGGTGGTTTTTCCCCAAAGGGTCCTGTGCGAAACCGCCATGGTCCGTGAGTTTATGCCGTGTGGGTGGCCTGGCCCTCCATGGAAAAGCTGCCCGGCAACCCCCCCCTACCCCGAGGAAAAGAGCAACACGCCGCCAGGGTCGGCGGATCCCTCGTCCTCTAATATACGGCCCTAAACCCTAAACCCTAAACCCTAAACCCCAAACCCTCTGGCCGGGCTTAGGGTTTGGGGTTTGGGCTCTTTGAGGGTGTTCGAGAAGGGGGTGTATAAGGTTCAGAGAGCTCCCAAAAACGAAAGGCATCATGCCCGCGGCCCTAGGGGGGTTTAGGGTTTAGGTTTCAAAGCCCCCCCCCCCCCAAATCAATTCCCTCAGTTACCTGCAGAGGCTTTGAGGTAAGGAGTAAGGGCCTGAACCCTAAACCCTAAACGCTAAACCCTAAACCCTAAACCCTAAACCCTAACCCTAAACCCGGCATCCCTAGGCGCAAACCAGCATAGGAGGTTCCCTAAACCCTATGCCCTACCAGGACGGGCGATTGTACCCCATAACCCCCTAAAACGGCTCGTATTAGGGTTTACAAGGGTTTAGGGTTTAGGGTTTAGGGTTTAGGGTTTAGGGTTTAGGGTATCATACCCTACAACCCCCCCAAAAAAAACAAACGCCGTTTATAGGGTTGATTATGGGGAATATAGGGCTTAATAGCCCATCCTCGTAAGCCGTAAACCCTAAAGTTCAAGCCAAGCTCCCAAAACCTTCGGCTTGGCGCCAGCCACGGGAAGAAACCCCCCAACCCTGTAACCGTTACACTGCAACCCCAAACCCGAGTTCCTAAATCCTATAAACCCTAAAACTAAACCCCAAACCCCAAGCAGCCCTAAACCCTAAACCCTAAGCCCTAAGCCCTAAACCCTAAACCCTAAACCCTAAACCCTAAACCCTAACCTGTTCCCTTCCCAGGTTGTGTGCAGAGGGGGTCGAGGCAATCCTTACGAGCGCTTGCTCCGGGTACGGGACGGCCGGGAGCCCCATGGAGATGCGAGGGGTGCTTGGGGGTTTAGGGTTGAAAGTGTGGGGTTTAGGGTCTAGGGTTTAGGGTTAGGGTGTTTAGGGGGTAGGGGTTAGGGTTTACGGTTTGCGGTTTAGGGTTTGGGGTACCTGGGCCGTCCTCCAAGCGACCGATCGTTGTGGTCACGATGCCGTGTGGATCCGAGATGCCCGCTTTTTCAGTCACGACCAATTGCTTAAGAACCCCCCCCCCCCAACATAGAATAAAGTCTTCCTTCCTTCTGAGGGCAATACAGGGCTTATTGGGTTCTACTCCCCTAAAGCCTAAACCCTAAACCCTAAACCCTTTTTTTGGGGGGTGGGGTTTAGCAAATAGTAGTTCAAAAGCGATGTTTCAGGATCGTTGCTACTGAGATCTTGGGTGCCTTTCCCGGGGTGTCTAGCATGCTGGGCTTGCCGCTGCTGAGGGTTTAGGGTTAGGGTTTAGGGTTTAGGGTTTAGGGTTTAGGGTTTAGGGTTTAGGGTTTAGGGTTTAGGGTTTAGGGTTTAGGGTTTAGGGTTTAGGGTATGGGATTATTCGTATTGTTTGCTTAGGGTGTGGGGTTTAACTTTGTCATTGTGGGGTTGTAACAATTTACATCTTACAGGGTACTTAAACTCAAGAAGGAATAGAATTTTCTCAATTTGGAATACGTTCCCAACCATGAGCAAGTTGAGGATTCCCCTGAACTGCCTCTGAAGTACTCGCCCACGTGTGTGGGGTTTAGGGTTTAGGGTTGAGGGTTTCGGGAGAGGGCAAGCTGTTTAGTGTTTACGGGTGGAGGGGACAAGGGCAGGGGGGCAGGGGGGGAGGGGGGCGGGCATGGGCATCTTGTGAGCGAAACATCCAGTAGTGCTCTTTTTCCTGCATGAAAGTGCTAAGCTTCCCTTTCGAGGCCTTGACAAAAGACAATTGCAAACCGGGGACGTGCAGAAAGGCCTACGTCATCGGCATCTGCATGTTTCTAGTCGTGCTCTTGAATGTCATTGCTCAGGTGCGGCAGTGGAGGGGCGCAGGGGAGGGTAGGAGTACTCGCTTCCTGTGATGTGACTGCAATCCAGTGGCCTGAACAATCCACATGCTTAGGGTGCTGGCTCATTTCTAGTCTCCAAACCAATATAAGCCGTGAACCCTAAACCCTAAACCCTAAACCCTAGACCTGTAGAGAATCGGGGCCTCCAGATGGCGTCGAACCTCCACTTAGAAGACGTCACAATGCGGTCTAAGCGTGAGAAGGGTTTAGGGTTGAGGGTTTAGGGTTTAGGGTTTAGTGTTTAGGGTTTGGGGCTGACAGGGTTAGGGTTGCGTTTCTTGGCTTTCTTCTGGCTGGCTCTTGGGACTCTAACTTTTTCGCTTTTTGTAGAAACTACAAGAAGGACTCTAGCCAAGGTTTTGAGGGTTGAAGTGGCTTTCCGGTTTTCGGGCGTCAATGGGCTTTCTAGGATGCCCAGTAGTACCCTTATTCCCTTTTTGGGGGGTTTAGGTTCCCTTACAAACCCCTTTAAGCAAAACAGGGCACCCTTTTTAAGCCTAGGTTACTGGGCAACCTAGCTTTAGAAAGTATGCACCGGAAGGACCTTGCGTGCCCAACATTTCTAGGTGACTTTGTGCGCCTCCTCGCCCCCTTTTTTGATCAGGTGCTTACGTGCATGCCCAATCAAAAAGGGTTTAGGGTTAACCAAACAAAGTGGTTTAGAGTTAACCAAAAAGGGTTTAGGGTTTAGGGTTTAGATTTTAGGGTTGTATGGGGTTGTTTATTGGTTTGGGGGTTCTGCATGCCATGCTCGATCGCTGCGCAAGGAGTGAGACCCTATGACCCCTACACGCCAAACCCTATAGCCCCTACACCCTAAGTCCTGAACCCCAGGGTCCCAGGCCCTACAAACCAAGGGAAGCAGCCATTCTTACCCTATCCCATAGTTGCACTTTGGTTTGGTGGGTTTGCCTTATTTGCAGAATGATACAGTTTAAGCTCTGTGTCTTTGTTTTATTGAAGAAGTGAGCCCTAAACCCTGAACCCTGAACCTAAACCCTAAACCCTATTCACCAAGTAGCTGAGTGAGTACACTTTACACTTTTTGGGATGCTACTATCCCCTATAGAACTGAAAGTGTACACTTTTGGGGGTTTATGAACTTGGCAACTACGGTCTGCAACCTCGTAAAGGCATAGGGTTTTGTGGGGCATAAGGTACCTAATGGGTGAAACCCTAAACCCTAAACCCTAAACCCTAAACCCTGAACCGCGTTAGGGCTTCGGGTTTATGACCGTCGACCAGGGTATCACCTTCTGGCTGATCCAGCAGTACATGGAGAAGCCGAAGAAGCAGCACCCCGCCTCGGCGCTGATCCCTGAGCCCGAAACCCTAAACCCTAAGCCCCAAACCCTAAACCCTAAACCCTCAACCCTCAACCCTAACCCCTAACCCTAAGCCCTAAACCTGAAACTCTTGACCCTGAAGCCTGAACACTGCGCACGGGGTTAGGAGGTCGCCAGGGTAGGGTTTAATTTTCGGGCCCATGAGAGTACATAAAACCTAAACCTGATTTGTATATAGCTTTTAAATTTATTGCACCCGTTTAGGGCTTCGGGCTGAAGGGTTGGTGTCCAAAATCCTACATCTGCAGCACCACTCGGCAATGACTGCACTATGTCCAGGCACAAACACGCACAACCCCCACGGGGGGGGGGGGGGGGGGGGGGGGGGGGGGGGGGGGTGGGGGGAAGTGGATGTAGCATTTCAAGCTGCCGACACCCGACCCTCCCGTGGCCTCAGTTTGGGGTGAAGGGTTTGGGATGCAGTGAGGGTTAGGGTTTGGGGGTTTAGGGCCCCGAAGCCCCGAAACCTAAACCTTCCCATCCAACGGCTGGAAAAAGTTTTCAATTTCGGAACCCTAAACCCTAAACCCTAGATCCTAAACCCTAAACCCTAAACCGTAAGAGTGACAGGGCACCATGGCAGAATGAGGTATCGCGAAGTGGCCTTCTTCCTGGCGTCTCCCCCAGCACGCAGTGCGGGTGTACTGGGATTGTCAGGTTATGCGGCACCCTAAACCCTAAACCCTAAACCCGAAACCCGAAACCCGAAACCCGAAACCCGAAACCCGAAACCCGAAACCCGAAACCCGAAACCCGAAACCCGAACCCGAAAACCCTAAGCCCTCATCCCTGGGTAAGCCTTGTGACCCACATAGGAGTTCGAATGCTTTATGGGGCTCCCCCACCTCAAACCCTAAACCGTAAACCCCAAACCTTGAACCGTAAACCTATATCCCAAACCCCTATCCCTAAACCCTAAACCCTAAACCCGAAAATACACCCTAAACCCTCAAGACAAAATAAATAGAAATTGTATGTGATATCTTCCGGAAATTCCCAAGCTATTTGTCTAAACTGCTGACGCGCCAAGTTTAAGTAAATAAACCCAAAGCACCTGGGAGCCTAAATGGCCTCCTCCCCCCAATACTAAATTACGAAGCCGGGCCTCCCCCGAATATTGAAGAACAAAGCCGTGTCCTCCCTGAATACTAAATTCAGAAGCCGGGCTTCCCCTGAATATTAAATTACGAAGCCGGGCCTCCCCCGAATACTAATTACGAAGCCGGGCCTCCCCTGAAAACTAAATTACGAAGCCGGGCCTCCCCTGAATACTAAATCACGAAGCCGGGCGTCGCCGCGCCACCCTCCACCCAGCCCCCCCCCCCCCCCCCCCCCCCCCCCCCCCCCCCCCCACGTCGACCCCTAAAACCTAATATCTAAAAAAGAAACTTTCGCTCAAAACGTTTCGCCCAAAACGTTTGGCTCAAAACTTATTGGGACCCAAACCCTATACAATTTCTATAAACCCTAAACCCTAAACCCCAAACCCTTAACCCTTATAAACCCTAAGCCCTAAGCCCTAAGCCCTAAGCCCTAAGCCCTAAGCCCTAAACCCTAAACCCTAAACCCTAAACCCTAAACCCTAAACCCTAAACCCTAAACCCTAAACCCTAAACCCTAAACCCTAAACCCTACCCTAAACCCTAAACCCTAACCCTAAACCCTAAACCCTAAACCCAAACCCACTTCAGGATTTCGGGTTTGGGTTCAGGCCCCGCCCCAGAACCTTGCAACGGCAGTACGTTTGAAGCCCATGTAATCTCCATTTGGGTTTAGGGTTTAGGGTTTAGGCCCTAAGCTTCAGGTTTTCGGGTTTAGGGTTTGGAGTTGCGGGTTTAGGGTTTGGGGTTTGGGGTTTAGGGCTTTGGGCTTGGGGCTTATACTGGGGCTTAGGTCTTAAGGTTTAGGGTCTTCGGGGTATTTGGGGGTAGTTTCATGTGGTTCCCAACCTCCTTTAAAAAGGGTTCTGATGTATGGGCACTTAATTGGGTCTCTGAGGGGATATATAAGGGACCCCCTTCTACGGGCCCATACTAAGAAACCATGTAACTCTTCTTCTTGTTCTTTCTCCTTTTCCTCTTCTTCTTCATTTTTTTTGTTTTTTCTTCTTCCCTTTCTTCTTGTTCTTCTTCCTTCAACTCTTCTTCTTCTTCTTCCTCTCCTTCTTCTTCTTTCATTTTCTCTTTTTTCTTCTTTTTTTCGAGATGCACTTTTTTTTGCTTTCCTTTTCCGGTGTTTAGGGTTCAGGGTCTAGGGTGTAGGCCCTAAACCCCCAAAAATTGCGCCCAGGAGCCCAAATTAGGTGGGGTCTAGCGCATTTTTTCTGGCCACCAAAAATGTACGTAGAAAAGGAACCATGAAGAAGCAACCCTACCCTTACAGGACTCCAAGGTGATTCAAAGGTAAGCTTTCATGCTCTCGCCATGCTGCCTCTGGCCCCTGTAGAGCCGCTGCCCCCCTTGCTTAAGAGCCCTACCCCCGTGCTCTTGGACCCAAACCCCCAAGCCCCAAACCTCTCTTTGAGGGGTTTAGGGTTTAGGGTTTAGGGTTTAGGGTGTGGGGGTTGGTGAAATAAGGACCTTATCGGAACCATCCTGATGCTCATCGTGGCACGGGTGCCCAGCATTCGTCTCGCACCCGAAATCCGAGGAGTAGCCCTAAACCCTAAACCCTAAACCCTAAACCCTAAACCCTAAACCCTAAACCCTAAACCCTAAACCCTAAACCCCAAGCCTCCTAGGGCCTTGAGACGACACTGAATGGGTGCTCTAACCTTGAACGTCTACGCCCCTGATGTAGATTGCAGATGCTTTGCTGAAGAGGTTTAGGGTTTAGGGTTTAGGGTTTAGGGTTTAGGGTTTAGGGTTTAGGGTTTAGGGTCCCAGGTCCCTTGGCTGATGAACTCTTTGCCCTCTGAGGACATGGTCCCTTAGTATGGGCACTTAAAAGGGGACCCATTCTATACCTTCTGTAGACCCATACAAAGTTTAGGGTTTAGGGTTTAGGGTTTAGGGTTTAGGGTTTAGGGTTTAGGGTTTAGGGTTTGAGCCTTTACTTCAGAACCCTTTAAAGGAGATTAGGGACCACATGAAGGGCCCCATGAATCTACCCTCTTCGCCCCAGCTTACCTGGGAATCCGATCTCCAGCAGAGCCACCTCACAGCCCTGGTTTGGTGTTTGGGGTTTAGGGTTTGGGGTTTAGGGTTTAGGGTTTAGGGTTTAGGGTTTAGGGTTTAGGCATCACAAGCTGCAATTCCAAATCCTCAATATTTTAGGGCTTGGGGCCCAGACCTACTGAAGTGTCCAAGCCTTGGATTTGCATGTTTCATTTTAGGATTATGCCTCTTCCCCAAAGGGATTCCATTTGCCTCATGCTTCTATGCACGAACCCCAAAGTCATTCTATGAGCCCCCAAATCGTACCCTATTCTGACTACCATTGGGTCGTTCTTAGGGCCTAAACCCTAAACCCTAAACCCTAAACCCTGAACCCTAAACCCATATAAACAGACTGCGCCCAGGTGTTGATATACCTCTTAGCGATCCAGAGACTCAGCAGCGTTCCCGGCGTGATTGTGCTGCACAAGCTGCCCTCCTTTCTCTTTTGTTGGGGGGTTTAGGCTCGCTTACAAGCCCCTTCAAAAAAAAGAAAGGGTACCCTTTGCACTCCTAGGTTACTCTTGGGTCTGGGACAGAGTCACCTAGAACCAGCCAAGTGTGGTTTCGAGAGTTCAGGGCTGAGGGACCTGGGAGGGATCTTAGGATTTAAGGTTTGTAAACGACCCCTAAGAAAAGGCCTTGCTGGAATATGGCAGTGTGCACCCCCGCTTGCCTTTGCACACACCCCGAGGTCTTCTGAAGAGGCTTAACAAGGCTTCTTGCACAGTTGCGACTCCCTCCTACACCCTCAACCCTTTGGATCCATCCCTGGTGGAGGCCAGGTAGTTCCTGTCCCCGAACACGCTCCACGCCGGGCGACACCGAGAAGATAGAGACCACCTAGAAACCACCCACATCCATGCACAAGCACTTGCAGTTCAGGAGAGGAGACGTTTGCACCTTAATAAACCCTTAGCTTTTCAGAAACGGGCGTTCTGGGGGGCCCTGTCTTTGTTGCAGCCAGGTATCAGTGCCTTGGGCTTTGAGATTGCGCCGTGCTCTCAGTATAAACCAAAAATAAACCCCAGCGAAGTCTAGTTCGAGGCTTCCAGGTCTGTGCGCTTTACCGTGTGTGAAGCCCTAAACCCTAAACCCTAAACCCCTAAACCCTAAACCCTAAGCCCTAAGCCCTAAACCCTAAACCCTGAACCCTAAGAAGTCCTGCACCCTACAAGCGCTGCATTTTTGCGGGCCTCAGGCCGCGCAACGAAGCCAACAAACCCGAACTCTGGGTTCGAATTTGTTGCCTGTGTTAGGGGTTTAAGGTTTAGGGTTTAGGGTTTAGGGTTTAGGTTCGGGTTTAGGGTTTAGGGTTTAGGGTTTAGGGTTTAGGGTTTAGGTTTAGGGTTTAGGGTTTAGGGTTTAGGGTTTAGGGTTTAGGGTTTAATTAAGGTTTAGGGGTAGATGGATGCTCGCACATCGGGCCCCACAAGTGTCACAGAGGAGCTTTGTGCCTGTTATCAGGGTCAACCCTAAACCCTAAACCCTAAACCCTAAACCCTAAACCCCAAACCGTGGCTCTCGTACCTCTGAGGGTGTACCCGTAAAGGTTCCCCTTGATATACTCCTAATATGGCCTTAATATCTCCCTAGGGATCTTTAAAAGGGTCCCCAAAAAACGAGGGTACAACCTTACTTAAGGGCGTTGCTTCTTGGAGACATGTGGGGGCAGCTCCTGTGCGGACTAAACCAGCGAGCTCCTGCTGAAATCGCAAGGGTTTGGGTTCATCTGGGCCGCACTAGACTCTAATCACTGAACCCTCTAACCTAAACCTTAAAACCCCAATTTCCAAACTGCTGACCACTACTTACTTTTAGAAGGAGGACGGGTGGGGGGGGGGGGAAGCTAAGGAGCTAAGGATCAGCTAAAGCGCGAACCTTATACCCTCTAGGCCCGAACGCAATCCTAAGCCCTAAGGAAGCCCACCCATCTAAGCCCTAACCCATAACCTTGAACCCTGAGCCCTAAACCCTGAACCCTAAACCCTAAACCCTAAACCCCAAACCCTAAACCCTAAACCCTAAACCCTAAACCCTAAACCCTAAACCCTAAACCCTAAACCCTCTCTCCTAACCCTAAAGCCTGAACCTGAACCCTGAACCCTCAGCACGGAGGTCGGGTTAGGGAGCTCTTACATCCTTTTGCTCGTGGTTGGCCCCCCCATACCTTGGGCTTCTTGGGTTCTGGAGCTGCGACTGACTGGGACACTTTCCCCAATTTTGGGACACCCAATGGTTTAGGGTTTAGGGTTTAGGGTTTAGGGTTTAGGGTTTAGGGTTTAGGGTTTAGGGTTTAGGGGTACCACCAATATCCCCCCAAAAACACCTCAACCTCTAAACCTCTAAACCTCTAAACCTCTAGACCTCTAAACCTCTAAACCTCTAAACCTCTAAACCTCTAAACCTCTAAACCCTAAACCCTAAACCCTGAACCCCTAACCCCAACCCCCCAACCCCAAACCCCAAACCCTATACCCTAAACCCTAAACCCTAAACCCTAAAACCTAAACCCTAAACCCTAAACCCTAAACCCTAAACCCTAACCCCCCCCCCCCCCCCCCTGCTAGAGAGTTTCTTCAGGGCCCACAAAGGGCCCGAAAAGAATCGGCTGAGGCTTGGCCCATCCAACGGCCAGCAGCCCAGATCTTCGGGATGAGAGCCCTAAATATGGGGTTTAGGGTTTAGGGTTTAGGGTTTAGGGCTTAGGGTTTAGGGCTTAGGGTTTAGGGTTTAGGGTTTAGGCGCCTATATTGTCGCTGGAGGGTTTTAGGGATGTAGGTTTAGATTTTAGGGTTTAGGGTTTTAGGTGTGAGGGTTGAGAGTCATAGAGTTTAGTAGTTGGGCTTCGGGTTTAGGGCTTTTGAGAAGACCAGGGTTTTGGCTTCCGAGTCTATGACGCGGAGGGTCTTCGGCGGCGGGCTCGGGGCGGAGGCAGTCAAGCGCTTGACTGGGTGTGTGGTCTTCATTAGGGTTTAGGGTTTAGGGTTTAGGGTTTAGGGTTTAGGGAATAACCTTAATTAAGCCTAATTTTCCCGAAATAGCCTTGGAACCTAGTGGGGGTAGTATAGAGGGGGGTAGTAGGGGAACCCATGAGCTGCGCTACAAAATGTGGGCTTAGGTTTAGGGCAAGAGAGCTCAGGGTGTTTTGGGTTTTTGGCAAGAGGGTTTATGGTTGAACTCGAATGATCCACAAGAAATTGGGATCCCTGAAATTAGGACAGCCCCTTTTTGTAGTCACTTATGATCCATTAAAATCGGGTCCCTGAAATTAGGACAGCCCCTTTTTGTAGTCACTTAGCGCCCTAAACCCTAAACCCTAAACCCTAAACCCTAAACTCTAAACCCTGTCGAGGTTAGGTGAACTGCGCAGGCATCGGTGCATCGTACGGGTACTTCTTCCTCTACTTCTTCATCATGATACAGGTGCGCGGTCGCTACGGAAAGATGCTCAGGGCTTGAGGGGAACCCCAAACGCTGAAACAAGCCCACCCGCCCCATCACTAAGCCGGAAACCCCCAAGCACCCAGACCCTAAACCCTAAACCCTAAACCCTAAACCCTAAACCCTAAACCCTAAACCCTAAACCCTAAACCCTAAACCCTAAACCCTAAACCCTAAAAACCCTAAACCCTAAACCCTAAACCCTAAACCCTAAACCCTAAACCCTAAACCCTAAACCCTAAACCCTAAACCCTAAACCCTAAACCCTAAACTGCCAGAAGGCGCCCTGGCGGTTTCAACCCAGCTTGACTCTTCTCATGCCTTTAGTCCCTTGTGCTTAAAGAATTGTACTTACCTCCCTCTGGAGTGCCTTGCCCCTCTGCGATTTCTCGTGGCTCCTTAGAGGCCTGCATTGAAAAGGAAGCCCATGTGGAAGTGTCAGAGCCTACTTCATCCTCACTGATGCCTAGAGCCATGGCTCTCCGGTCCATGTCGCTTCTCACGTCGGCCTGGCGACACCTTCAGCCGCTGTGGTGCATGCGACCGGTGCCTACTTCTGGAACATACAGGGCAAGCTGGGGCTTGCTGCTGCCCAGCGGAAACTGGGTGAGAGGGATCAGCCTGCGGTCAGGTCAGCATGCATCTCTGGACGAAGTGGCCAAGTACGTGTGTCAAGAGACCGGTGGAGACTACGGAGCAAAGCTGCAGTGCGCCTTTGCGTGTTCGTTCATGGCAGACGCGAGTTGAGTTAGTAAAGTAGGAATACAGCCGCTGAGCCTGTCCTTCCTTTTGTTTGTTCTCAAGCTTTGCTCGCACCCCAGCTAGGTGCCAAGGAGCTTGCCCTCGTGCTGGAATACAACGTGTGCGACGAGCTGAGCACAGTACGCATGGACGACGCCGCTGTCATCATCGAGGAGTTGCAAGCCTCCCCCGAAGATTTCCCAGCATTCCTCTCCAACGAAATGCCGGAGCACGCGGATGAAGAGGATCCTGAAGCTGCGAAGCCCGAAACGTCCGACACAGAGCGCGAACTGCTTCAATGCCGAACCGAGGAGGACTTCCGGCGATTTGCTTTGCGTCGTGGTGCAACCTGCTGTCAGAAGAAGCGCTGGGTAGTCAATCACGCATGCGGCGCCCGTTCGACAATGTCACCAAACCCGAACCCCAATAAGACCCGCGAGACGATGATGAAGATGCGCAAAGAGTTTCGGCGTATCTACATAGGTTCTTAATCTAATGATGTTGTGGCCAATTTTGAACTGGCTGCAGTTCCCAGTTTCAAGTGTACAGTGCCTTTAACCAGCCAGAACCCGCTTTCTCGCCAGCTCTGATGTCGCATACGCCGCACATGAGTGCTCAGGGTTGTGGGAAACGAATAGCTTGGCTCGCTATCGTGGCGTGCGTTCTTGGGTCGGTTTGGGGGTTTGTGTGTTCTGTACGATCCGTAATTAACCCGGACCCCTGGAAGGCTCCATGTAATGTATCCCTTCATGGGTTCTTAGTAGCACAGGGCACTATTTGGGGATCTGGGAAGGAGGCAAGCTTTATGTTGCTGTCCGTCTGAAGATGAGCGGTGATGCGGGTAGACCCTGCAGGTCCATGTACCTCAATATATACATAAATATAATATATATATATATATATGTGTATATATATATATATATATTAAATATACATACTTGTAAACCCTAAACCAACATGTGGCAAGCAATCAAAGGTCCAAGCCTTCCCTACTTCGGCACATGGAGGCTTAGGGGAGTATAGTGTTGTGGTTTCCCTCCCTGCCTTGCCTTTTAGGGTTTAGGGTTGAGGGCTGAGGGTTTAGGGGTACTATACTACCCCCCCCCCCCCCGGGGGGTCCCCGATAATTATGGCAAAATATGGAAACTTTGGCCGAATAAAGGTATTTAAGGGGGAACCCTGGGGGCGGCCGGGAAAGAAAAGGCGGGTAGTAGGGGAGCCCCTGAGCCCGAAACCCTGAACCCTAAACCCGAAACCTTCAACCAGGATGTCTGAGTGCTCAGTGGCTACCAGCCAGAGCTCATATTCAGGATTTGGGGTTTTGGGGTTTAGGGTTTTTGTTCAGAGGGATTTAAGGGCCATCCATAGAAGAAGATCAGAGTCCATAAGTCCTCCGCCCTTTTACCAAATCCACCCATGATGGAATTCTTAGGGCCCAGGAACACTCCCCAAAACGCCCCAGCTCCTAAAGCACCCAACCCCATCCTTGCGCCACAGAACCCTAAGTCATTGAGACTTCAAACCCGAAACAGAAATCCTCTGAGCCGCCACCACCAACTAATCTGACCTAAGCCTCACAAAAACACTGAGCCCTTGTAATTCCCAGGTTGAGGGGAACCTCATGGACCACATCCCCAATCCCTAAGCCCTCAGCACGAAAACTCCTCAGCCCAACCTTAAAACCCTCTCAGCCCTGAAAACCCTGAACCCTCAAAACCCTATGCCCTAAACCCTCAACCCTAAACCCTCAACCCTCAACCGCATCCTGGAACCTAACCCCTTGGCAGGGTGTGTCGGTTGTGCTGATGGCAAGCGGATCCAACTCCCAGGAGGCGCTGTGTAGGGACAGGCTCCCTAAACCCCAACCCTAACCCCTAAACCGCCTAATCCCGCCTCCTTCAAAGGTTTTGGGCGTATCTGGACCCCCAAAGTATGTTTTAAAGATAGCACAAAAACCGTAAACAAGAATGACTATCATGTTGCACACTTTGGGGGTCTAGGTTGGGTTTCAGGGTTTAAACGCCGAACCTGAAGTGAACATGTGCATCGTCAGACTGGAGAGGCATTTGGCCAGCCCCCAACACCAAACCTCAGACCCTTCAGACCCCGAATCGCTATACCTCCAGCGTCGTGGAAGTCCTGTAGGTCCCAATTTAGGGTTTAGGGTGTAGGGGTTAGTCTACCCGCATGCATAAACCTGAAACCTACGGGCTCTTAGTAGGGAATGAGGGGGGTTGTGCCTATCCCTCATTCCCTACCTCTTCAGGGTTGAGGGTGTACAGGGTTTATAGTTTATACCCTCTATATTTCCTGGAATACCTGCCAAAAAGCCCCCCTAACCCTCACTACGGGAGGTCGATGCAGGGTGTGCGGATTCTCAGGGTTGAGTGCTTGGGGCTGCAACAGCCTCATCGGTTAGGGTTTACGGTTTGGGGGCTTGAGGCTTTACGGTCGTAGCACCCTAAACCCTAAACCCTAAACCCCAATCATAAGCCCTAAACCCTAAACCCAAAACCCTAAACCCTAAACCCTAAACCCTAAACCCTAAACCCTAGCCCACAATAGGCATTGTCTAGCCCTCGTGATTGGCCCCAGGCTCGTGAGGCTGAGCTCCGCGCCCGGCACACAGCATTGCTTGGTCTAGGGTTGAGGGGTTGAGGGGTTTAGGGTTTAGGGTTTAGGGTTTAGGGTTTAGGGTTTAGAGTTTAGGGTTTAGGGTTTAGGGCTACAGGGTTTAGGGTATTTGGGCGCTTGCTAAAGTTTTTTGTCAGGACAACTTGGGTCTATGGTTGGCTGTCTTCCTTGTTGGACCCTAAACCCGAAACCCTAAACCCTAAACCCTAAAACCTAAACCCTAAACCCTAAACCCTAAACCCTAAACCCTAAACAGGCCTTGGGGGTTTGAGGTGTTTGCTTGCGGCCTGTGGTTTCGGAAGAGTCTTGGGACTCCGGGGTTCCTCCGAATGTCTATCACCCCAGAACCAGAAGGTCCTCTTGGGGTTCAGGGTTTAGGGTTTAGGGCGAGGAGGGTTTAGGGTTTCGGGTTTAGAGTTTAGGGTTTAGGGTTTAGCGTTTAGGGTTTACGGTTTAGGGCGAGGAGGTTCAACCCCAAGCCCTCTTCTGAATTTCGTGGGTCCTTACCCGGAGTCCTCCTCCGAGACGCATCATCTGAAATCGGGTGTCGACAGGGCACCCCTCGAACCCTCAGCCCTAAACCCTAGGCCTTAAATCTAACAAGGTGTAGGCTTTGGGGTTTAGGGGCTTAGGGCTTTGGGGCTGTGGGGCTGTGGGGCTTAGGGTTTTGGGGGTTTCGGGGGTTTCGGGGTTTGGGTTGGGGGCTTTGGTTCTCTGCAACCCCGAAGCCCGAAACCCTAAACCTTAAACCCTGGAACCCTGAAACCCGGAACCCGAAACCCTCAAGCGTCAGGTTCGGACTCACAGTCCTGAATCGGGATTTAGGGTTTAGGGTTTCGGGTTTAGGGTTTAATTACCCCCGATTATTTTCCCCGACTTAAGGATTGGTAGTGGAAGGGGGAACATCCCAGTTTATGCACCTCACGAGTTTAACCCAAGCAACCCCAAACCAAGGCATCCTCAAGCCCAAGACCTTAAAGGTAAGGGGGAACATCCCAAGCTTGGGATCTAGGGTTGGTTTGGGGTCGTGGAGGAATCTGCCCGCAGGTCGGTGTTGTGCTTGAAAGCTGCACCGAACTCGCAAACGAATCCTCACCCCGGGTCTGGGGTACAGGGCTTAGGGTTTAGGGTTTAGGGTCTAGGGTTTAGGGTTTAGGTTTAGGGTTTAGGGTTTAGAAAGCTCTGCAAGGTGCTAGTCATTCTGTAAGCTTGCCTCCGGCGCTCATGAGGAGCAGCGGAAGTTCATGCAGGAGATGCAGATGTTTGACCAGGCAGTGTTCACACCCTAAACCCTAAACCCCAAACCCCAAACCCCAAGCCCCAAGCCCTAAACCCTACCTAAAGATTCGGTTCATGCTGCCAGCAGTCTTCCCATTCCTCGCATACATGGGGGGGTTTACCGCGTTTAGGTTTTAGGGCCCTGAACCCCGAACCCCGAAACACTAAACCCTAAACCCTAAACCCTACCAGGCCACCGAGATGGTGAACACGAACTTTGCACCACAGGGCGCCGGTGTTCCCAGGGAGGAATCTGACTCGGGCATTTCCCAGAACAGGGTTTAGGATTTAGGGCTGAGGGTTTTGGGTTTAAGGTTTATGGTTTAGGGTTTAGGGTTCAGTTTAGGGTTCGCGTGGGACCCCCCTATATAGCAGAGTCCCCCCCCAAAAAAAAGTTTCAGGGTTTTGAGGTTTGTCTTAGGAACTTTGGGCATTCCATCGGGTCACATTTGTAGTACCATGATAGAAGTAGGTACCCAAAAACAAAACCTCATGGGGTTTTTGGGCACCTAGTTCTGGAACAGTACTACAAGGGGACCCTCTGGGAAAGAACCCTGCCCAGCCCTAGAAACCCCAAACCCTGTAAACCCAAAACCCTCCAAACCCTAATACCTAGACTATGGGAACAGCTCTGCGACTTGTGTGGGGCCTGACCGACTCATTGGGCCCATTTGGGTTTGCTGGCGTAGTATCTCCCTCAACCCTAAACCCTGCATACATCCTAGCTATAGAGTACGACACTGACACCGAAACCTGCATCCCCAAAAAGGGTTTAGGGGAGGTTTACCCGCCGTGCTCGGAATCCAGGGTCCTTTTGGGGCGATTGGAACCTTGATAAAGGAGACCATGATTTCGAGAAGAATCCATGTAGAGGTTCAGGATTTACCTAGATCTCCGCAATAGAAAGTACCTCGGCGCATGTTCGGAGATGTCTTGGGGTCTTTATTAGGGTTTAGGGTTTAGGCTTTAGGCTTTAGGGTTTAGGGGTACCTTATGGGGTCCTTATAAGGGAATCCTACTATTTGGGGGTCTAGAGTTTGGGCCCCTTGTTTTCGTGCACTCCCATGTGCCATTCCGAAACCTTGAGCCGAAAAAAGGAACAGCTCCGAGGAGGCAGCGGGCTCCCTTGTGATTTGTTAGGGTTAAGGGTTTAGGGTTTAGGGTTTAGGGTAGGTTTAGGGTTTAGGGTCCAGGGTTTAGGGTTTAGGGTTTTAGGGTTTTAGGGTGGCCTGGCGCAAGACCGAAGATAGGGCGCTGCTAGCGATAGGACCATGACCGCAAGCTTCTGCGCGAAACGGGAAGTGGGCATTTGCATGACATTCCTCGAAAAACCACAGAACCCTAAAAAGGGTGTATGGTTTTAAATACCCTAGTATTGGTTTATGTCTCATATACCCTGATAGGGATGATAGTAGTAAGAGCAGTGGATGATCCCAACCCTAAACCTTAAACCCTAAAACTTCAGGGTTCATGTGGTCCTCAAGGCGACAGTGTATGGCGACGCTCGGGGGTTTAGGGCTATAGGGTTTAGGGTTCAGGGTTTAGGGTTGGCGGCCCCACCGCCCCGAAATTTGGAACAGCTTCGAGCGACCGCCGCTGTCACGAGCCTGGGTTCAGGGTTCAGGGTTCAGGGTTCAGGGTTTAGGGTTTAGGGTTTAGGGTTTAGCGTTTAAAAACCCAACAAAAAGGGTTTAGGGTTTCAGGTTCAGGGTTTAGGGTTTAGGGCTTAGGGTTCAGGGTTATTGTAATATGCTTCCTGGACTACACACTCTCGAAGCTGTCGACTATTGCAAGGTGTCTTGTTTCGAGCTTGTCTGGCTGTTTCGGTCTTTGCCTGGGCGTCTAAAGCCTTCTGTACGTTGTCGACGATCTCTTGGGCAGAGCAAGTCCACAGCACGCCAAGCGTTCAAGCCCTGAAAGCGTTTAACGCACGAGTTTGCTTGCGGCTTGTGTCCTGGAGACCCCTAGGCAGGCCAGCAAGCAAAACACTCCCCGGGCTTTCAAGCTCTAAGCTTGCAAACAGCCCTAAGCCCTAAACCCTAAACCCTAAATCCTAAACCCTAAACCCAGAACCCAGGTGATGGCGCCGCCATCCAACTGGCAGTCGCCCCCATCACACTGGGGCCTGCCTCTTAGAGCTGGTGTGGAATAATCCCTATTAGGGGGGGTTTTAGGGGCTTTTACTAGCAGGGGAGGGGAATATACGGCTTCAGGGTTTTCCGTTGGAAGGTGGGGCTTAAACTGCTTCGGGGTGGTGATGAAGGGTTCAGGGTTCAGCGTTTAGGGTTTAGGGTGTAGGGGTTGCCAGATTGGCAAACTATTCTGTGCGCACGCAGTGGCTTCTTATCGAATGCTAGCCAGCAAGGGCGGGGACAGCAGAGCTGGGGGTGCTTCAAAATCACAAGCAGCTACCTCATTCTTTTCCACATTAGGCCAGAATGTCCCTATATCGGCAACACGCTCAAGCCCAAGCTTGAGGGTTCAAAGGCTGCCTAAGGAGCAGGTTGCGGTGTGCGGCTTTGGGTTTCGTGTGGGGCTTGGGCGCGCCTGGAACCCAAATGATGCAGGGACCTTGCACACAAAACTAGACACAACAATTTTCTAGTTTTGTTTTTAGTTTAGTATTTTCGTTTAGTATTTTAGGGCTCTGGGCCCAAAGGCCAGGCAAGAAAAAGGTTTCGGGGTCGGGGGGGGGGGGGGGGGGGGGGGGGGGGTAATGTAGGAGGGGCCTATTTGATTTGAACGGGTGTGTGGTAATTAAGCTTTGGATAGTTCATGGTAGTTCTGTAGATCCGTACCGGAATTACAAGGGGTACGGTATCTCTTTCGGCTCCTGTAGCTTTTCGAGCCGGAGGGGGAAGGCAGATGTTTTGCGACGTGTTAGGGACATGACCGCATAAATCGGGTTTGAAGTATAGGTTTCCTAAGCGAAGCTTCTGTGCTACCCTTTCAGGCAACCAGCAGCCAATGCAGCCAGCGGCACGACTGCAGCGAGCATTTTGAAGACATGGGCTTTCACAAACTGGGCTATTGTTGAGGGGCTCATATTTTAGAATAGATCATCGCAATCAGCATGCCGCATGGTTCCAGATAGGAATCTAGTGTGGTAATGCAATTCGTCAAACTTCTTAACAAGAATCCGGCACATTTCTTGCAATTTGATTGAACAAAGTCACGAACCGATTTCCCTCGAAGAGTCTAAAGAACCCTTAACCCTGAACCCAGACTGAACCTCTGAACCCTAAACCCTAGAACGAATGATGCGCAATCCCAAGCTTCTTCCCGTCCATGTACCTCATTCATAGGGTTTAGGGCTTCGGGTTCAGGGTTTGGGGGTTTAGGGTTCAAGGTTTAGGGTTTGGGGATTAGGGTTTAGGGTCCAGGCGCCTCATTATGAATGCCACTGTGCCCCCCTGGACCCTAAACCCTGAGATTCTAGCCCTAAACCCTGAACCCTAAGCACTAAGCTTCTAAGGCGTACGGCGGGGCACCGCCCATGCCGACCATGACGCAGCCCTATGGTGTCAGGGACCTAGCACTTGGCACAAGACTTTTTCTATAGGTTCCCCTCTCAGGGGTATTGCTGCAATGACGACAATAACCTGCAAAAAGGTAGGTTTCAGGTTCTTAGCGTAGGGTTCGGGTTCTTAACGTAGGGTTCGGGGTTTTGCAGTCGAAGTTGTCATGCCTAACCCCTCTTGTAGGCCCTAAGGGCCGTAAGGGTCCTGAAGCTTAGGTTTAGGGTTCAAGGTTCAGGGTTTAGGGTTTAGGGTTAAAGGCTGAGGGTTGAGGATGAACGTTTCTGCACTGCACGCTGTCTGAGGCCGCCGACAACATCCTAAACCCCAAAACCCAATCCCTTAAAAATGCCCCTGTCATAGGATTGATCCCTCAATCCTAACCCCTTACCCCTAAACCCTAAACCCTAAACCAAAAACAAAAACCCTAAACACTAAACGGGGTTTATACAGGTCTGCTGAATCCTAAGCTTGTCCGCAGCCGCCAGCGCCTGCGGCAATTTTAGGGACGCTTAGGGTTTAGGGTTTAGGGTTTAGGGTTTAGGGTTTAGGGTTTAGGGTTTAGGGTTTAGGGCGGACCCTAGGCCTTAACGCTGAGGCAGCTTTGGGCGATGTAGAGCTTTGGGGCTTGCAGTGCAGTGGGCTCACAGGTTTCTGTCTCCAAATACCCTAAACCCTGAACCCTAGCCCTAAACCCTAAACCCTGAACCCTGAACCCGAAACTCTGGCCCTAAACCCGAAAGCCTGGGCCCTAAACTCGATTTCTCAAGCCCTGAGCCCTAAACTGCGGATCCTGATTCCTATTACCTAGACCGTACACACCCTAAATCGCAGGGTTTAGGGTTTAGGGTTTAGGGTTTAGGGTTTAGGGTTTAGGGTTTAGGGTTTAGGGTTTAGGGTTTAGGGTTTAGGGTTTAGGGTTTAGGGACCTTTTGCCCTAAATCACGTCACCTAAGCCCTAACTAACTGTCAGATTTAAGACTTCCGGAGCGACCTCGACTCTGAGGGGTTTAGGGTTTAGGGTTTGGGGTTTAAGGTTTGGGGTTTAAGGTTTAGGGTTTAGGGTTTGGGGTTTGGGGTTTAGGGTTTAGGGTTCCTGGGTTACTTGGTAGCCCAGCGGAACCCTTGGCCCTTGTTTTGGGTCAAGGTTCCCTTGTAAAGCCACCAACCCCAACAAAGGATACTCTAAGTATAGCTGGGCTTTCTTCTGGCTGGCTCTTAGGACTTTAACTTTTTGGGTTTTTGTACAAACCACAATAAGGGGCCTAAAAGTTAAATCTTTAGGAGGGTTCAGAAGTCAGCCAAGTTAATATGGCTACTACGGTGAATTACAGGGTTGTTCAGGGTCAATGCTGCTTACAACTGTGTAAGGGAAGGCAAATCTGGCGAAGAGGAAGAGAAGGACAGTGCAACAGCCCCAATGCCTACTTACTGAAACAGCCCGCGGGGTTAATGCTGTTCAGGTTAAGGGTCACAGTTTAGGGAAGGGTTTCAAGGGTTGCAATCTGGTCACCCTGAATCATCTTCAAAGTCATCTCAGTCAATCTCCGGCCGAGCAAAAGAAGGACAGGAATCGCTGGAGGAGGTTTAGGGCATTTGCGCACGGGGTTTGGGCAAAACCCCGAGCCTTAAACCATATTGAACTTTTTAACCTTAAAAGCCTAAAGTCTATCAACCCCAAACCATCACAATTCCTAGACTCCTAGACGGTTAGACCTAAAAATCTAAAACAATTAAACCCAGAACCCTAAAGACCCTAAAGCCCAAAACTGTAGAACCCTGACCATTCAGGTGGGTAGTTTTCTCCCATATACGCCGCAGCTCTTACAGAACCCTCTATGCTCTTAACAAAGCCGTAAACCACTGCAAAACCGTATCAAACCTCTACGAACCTTCTGAAACCCTTTAACAGTCCCATAAACCCCTGTAAAACCCTGCAAAACCCTACGAAACCCTAAACCCTAAACCCTAAACCCTAAACCCTAAACCCTAAACCCTAAACCCTAAACCCTAAACCCCCCCAAAAAACCCGGAAGTTGTTTCTAATCCTCAGGGCCATCCTCACATGGGCGGGCCACCGCAGATGGGAGGCTGACAGGGTTGGGTTTAGGGTTTACAGAAGGGTTTAGGGTTTAGGGTTTAGGGTTTAGGGTTTAGGGTTTAGGGTTTAGGGCTTTAATTCCCCCCCCCCCCACCCAGTCCTCCCGATGGTTCTCTAAGCACCTTTCCCTCCCTTGGACCACCCTCCCTTAAGAACCTTCCTTACACGGGGTTTAAGGCTGAGGGGCTTAAAGGTTTAGGGCTGAGGGCTTAGGGTGTCGGGTGGGTTTTAGGTCCTCCCATAAGAGCCCTACAAAAACCAAGAGCTGGTCAGTCAAATTTTGGGGGTTGGTTCAGGCTTTTCAGGCTTACAGGGCAAATGACGAGCCTTGCCAGAACCTCCAAAAGCCCTTTCAGCCAATATAGCTGAAATTGTACTCAGGGCCCTATCATGATGCAGGGTTTAGGGTTGAGGGTTGAGGGTTTAGGGTTTAGGGTTTAGGGGGTTCTTCCTTTTAGGGCTTGGCTCCGGGCTTCAAGAGGCTCACATGGGTGGCGGAGGGTGCCTTCAAGCTGACCTGCTGACCTACCGTGTGTGTGTGTAGCCAAGGTATAGGGTTAAGGGTTTAGGGTTTAGGGTTCAGGGTTCAGGGTTTAGGGTTTAGGGAAGAGCCCATGTACCTCAATAACATTTACTTGGTATACTTTAAGGAAGTAAATTCCCTATTTTGGCATACGGGCCTTTGGTGCGCTTTGCCGACTTGCATCTCTAAAACCCAAACCTTAACCTTGGGATGTTCCCCCGTATACGAACAGTCCTTAATCGTGTTTATGTGTATGTATATGTATATATATATATATATATATACTCTGTTGTGCTTTACTGTAACTTTAGTTCCTTAACCTTTTTGGGTTTAGTGGGTTTAATAAGGCGGCTCAAAATTGAATTTATCGCCACCCTGCGAAGTGCAGCCAAGATATAGTACCCCCTATTATTATCCCTATCAAGGACTGTTAGTACATGGGGGAACCTCCCAACCTTAACCCAAAAGAAGCCTCAAACCACATAGGTCTTTCGCTTTTCAGCTGACCGCCTCTAAGGCACCTAGGGTTCAGAGTTCGGATTCAGTGTACTGTTAAATATGTATGCATATATGTATATATATATATATACATGTGCAAAACTGGGTGAGTGTAAATGGCTCGCCCTAGGGTGGATGGCGCAAACCCAATTGAAGAACCTTAGCCCTGAACCTCAGAAGGCTAAACCTTAAACCTATCATCTACACCCTCACTTAAGCCCCTAACGCTCAACCCCGTGTTATCCGAGCTTTGCTTTTGGGCCAATTCTAGGTCCAGGTCGAAGCTGACACCTCTCAAAATTGCAAACCTGCGCGAGCACCAGGTATGGATGCCGTAGTTGCGTGCCTTTTGAAAAGGCACCGATGCGGCGTCATCTCTACCCCTAAACCCTAAACCCTAAACCCTAAACCTTAATCCCCCACAAAACAAGCATGGGGCGCGCATGGAGGCGCAGCATTTTGATCGCGAGCGCCGGGAACCAGGAAATGAACCCTGGGCCCTAAATCCTAAAACATCAGATTGTGAAGACCTCCCTGGGCTTCTTGCAAGTCCACTCGGATTGGATGGACGCCCCCCCCCCACCCTCCCCTGAAGGTGTTTCGGGGTTTTAGGACTCTGGACTTCCTTTGAAGAGGCCAAAGCCCCTTCCCTCAAAACCCTAGGCCCTGTCTCAATACTCTAGGCCCTGAACCTTAAGGCCCCTAAACCCTAAACCCTGAACCCTAAACCCTAAACCCTAAACCCTAAACCCTAAACCCTAAGCCCTGTCTTAATAATCTAAACTCTGAACCTGAAGGCCCCTCCCAATCCTTTAACAGAACCCTAGACCCGAAGCTCTAAGCCCCCAAGCCCCTAAACCCGAAACCCGAAACCCTAAACCCTAAACCCTAAACCCTAAACCCTAAACCCTAAACCCTAGAAGAAGCCCCAAACCCTGAACCCGACACCCGAAGCCCAGATCATCATATACCTGGGGCCCAAAGTCATTCTATAAGGAGCTGCTTTACGGCCCAGGCATTTTGTAGGGTTTAGGGTTTGGGGCTTAGGGTTTAGGGTTTAGGGTTTAGGGCTTAGGGTTTAGGGTTTAGGATTTACATGGACCCGGAGGGCCCCTTAGGAGCTCCCCCAGAGAAGCAGCGACCAGGTGCGGGTCCCTACTTCTGAGCGCGCGACTTGGTGCTTTCTTGTGCTTTCGACGTATTCTTCAACTGTTATGTTTCAGGTTGGTCCTCAGAATATATGTATATATATATATATATATACACATCCTGTTCATGCATTATAGGAGAAATGCATATATGTATACACATATGTACATGCATGTATACATATACAGACATGTTTTGGCGCGGCAAGGGGTGGAATCTTATGATTTAACCCTAAGGGTCCATGTACCTCATTACTATGTACTTGGGCCCTAAAGTCCCTAAATAGGAGGTACTTTAGGGCCCAAGTATTCCCTATTTAGGTACATGGACCCTCAGGGTAAGGTTTGAGGGTTCAGTGTTTGTAGGGTTTAGGGTGCAGGGTGTGGGCTGGTCGTGGGAGGAGGCTTGCTGCGGGGGTTAGGGTTTAGGGTTTAGGGTTTTGGGTTTAGGGTTTAGGGGTTTAGGATTGGAAAAGGGTGTCTGGGTGCTCTGCATGAGGCATCGATTCATATGAGAAGGCCCCGTTCTTCGGGCCAAGGGATTCGGGCTTTAATTTACGGTTTAGTCGATGCGTCTGTATGGGGATGGACAGGGCTTGGCTTGGGAGCCGAAGCTACTACTGTTTTCGGCAAGCCCTCGAAAATTTAGTACATTGCTGTTGAGGTTAAAGTGTAGTATACGAAAGGACTACTAGAAACTACACAGATGCCAGAACAGCAAAAGGAGAACGCTTTCCTGCTCTGGTTGTCTAGGTCGGCGTTTGGTCCACTTCTCCCGACACTGGATCGTCAGCAGGGAGGGGTTTGGGGTTTAGGGTTTTCTAAACCCGAAACCCTAAACCCTAAACCCTAAACCACAAATTGGGGTGCTCGGATTTTGCCGGGTCTGCATCGTCAGACGCCGGGTCATGGAAACGGCCAGAGCTTAGCCCACGGTACCCCAAACCCTGGACCCGGGTTGTCTTAGGGTTTAGGGTTTAGGGTTTAGGGTTTAGGGATAGTGATACGGTCCCTACTTTTGAACCCTTTAAAGAAGGCAAGGGGGCCCTATGAACGGACGATGTAGCTTCCCTTAGACGCAGCACCTAAGCCCTGCGGTTAGAGTTGCTCTTTCCTGTTAGAGGGTTTGCTCCCGAGAGATTTTTGTTTTGTTGGTTGAGGCTCTACACCGTTCCTGCTCAAGAAGGTGGGCTTCCCACAGGAGCAAGGCATTTCTCATGATGAGAGGCATCCCGTTGAAACGACGAAGCTCAGTCATAATGGCTTGGGGTCCGTGTACCTCAAAAGGGACTTCTTTGGCCGCAAAGTACTTGGTATACAGGGACTTTGGGGCCCAGGCTTATGATGCTGAGGTACAGCCCTCAACCCTAAACCCTAAACCCTAAACCCTAAGCCCGATTCAGAATATGGTACATGGACCCGAAGGGTCTCAAAGAATGGAGGTCGGCAAGCTGCCAGACCACACTGACTGCACTCAGTGCCACACACCAGGGGTTTAGGGTTTAGGGTTTAGGGTTTAGGGTTTAGGGTTTAGGGACTAGGGCGATAGAGTCTATACCTCGCAGACGCTATCTAGGTAATATAGGGGCCTTAACCATTTCAATGGGCGGGGGGGTGTATTCTGGTATAATTCTATAGGGACCAGCAGGGAATACTACTAGTGAGTATTCTCCGACCCCTATGGTAGTAGAATCTACATGTGTCCTGATTGGTCTTAGAGTCTTTTTGTTGAAGATGATTTCTCGGAGAATTGGAATACCCCTCATTTTGTAGTCTCCCCAAACTCCAAAAGGCCTAGGGTTTATAGGGTTTATAGGCTTTAAGGTTTAGGGTATTGGGGATATGGGCTTTATAGCCTTTCAGGGTTCATAGGGTTTATAGGGTCTGTAGTCTTTGTAGGGGTTTATAGGGCCAGGTGTTTATCGGCTTTATAATTTGGCTTCATAGGGTTCATAGGGTTCATAGGGTTTATACGGTTTAGGGTCTCGGGCTTAGGGTCCACCACCTGCACTTTGCTTTGAACCCCGCAGTTCGCTCGTGACCATGTTAGTGCAGCCATTCAGGCAAAGAGCAGACTGGGTCTTCGGGTTCAGGGTATAGGGTTCAAAAGGGTTCATAGGGGTCTAGCGTTTAGGGTTTAGGGCTTGCAGTTTAGGGAGGCTGCCCAGGGTGTGAGGCCAGGCACCTGAGTATGCAAAGCAAATGTGGGAGCTTCCGGAAATTGGCGGGGTCGGACTTTGGCGGGGTAAGTATTTGGAGTTCGGGGTTTTTGGGGTCTTGGGCGAGTCAGGGGGCTCTGGGTTTACAGGGCTTATAAGATTTATAAGGTTTGGGGTTTAGGGTTTCGGCACAATGAAGTCGCACTTTTCGGAAGTCCCACTGTATCATGCAGGCGCCACGAAATGTTCCAACCTTTCGCTTCATTCAAAAGAAGCTTCAGTGGCAAACGCTAAACCCTGCAATGGGTACTGGGTTACCCTAACCCTTGAGCCCTAAGCCCACCCTAAAACCTAAACCCTAAACCCTAAACCCTAAACCCTAAACCCTAAACCCTAAACCCTAAACCCTAAACCCTAAACCCTAAACCCTAAACCCTAACGAGTCTCTTGACCCGAAAATCCCGCCACAAAACAGTCGTTCCTCACAACAAGTGTGGTTTGGGGTTTTGGGATTAGGTAGGCTTAGGGCTTAGGGTTCTGGGCTGGGTTTGAGGGTGTTTGAGCTATTCAGAGAAACAGGGCTTAGCGTTTGGGATTTAGAGCTTGGCGCTTAGGGTTTAGGGCTTATACCCCAAACCCTAAACCCTAAACCCTAAAGCCTAAACCCTAAACCCTAAATAAGTTTTAAACCAGTATGAGTCAGGCTGCGGTCTTGGGCACGGGGAGAGTCAAGCGTTGGTTCCGTTGTTGATCCGTTGTACTGAGCTTGCACGAGTCTTACATAGAAATACGGTATGTAAATTTTTAACACGCAGGCCCTTCTGTAAAAATAATAGGGTTTTACTTACTTAAGATCCTGTGATTTCATTTTCGTATAGTCCGATTTTCTCTATTAAAATCCTATTGTTTTTTAATTAGAATCTAGTCCGAATCATAGGATTTCAATTCTAGTCCTACTATCTTGAATTAAAAGCCCAGATCCGGATTTAGTAACGCAGACATTCGCTCAGCCCCCCTAAACCCTAAACCCTAAACCCTAAACCCTAAACCCTAAACCCTAAACCCTAAACCCTAAACCCTCGTCGGGGAGATACATGGATGGTGGAGAAGGCAAGTGTATGGGTTGGCGGGCTCATGAGGCAAGTTGGAAGTGAAATGAGGGTGTGCCCTCTGCTCGCAGAAGGCGACTCCACAACACCCACACCCTGAGCCCATCTCACCCCCCATAAAAAGTAAAGCCCCGTCCTAAACCCTAAATCCTAAACCCTCAACCCTAAACCCTACACCCTAAACCCTAAACCCTAAACCCTAAAACCCGAACCGGTGCCTTGAAGCGCCGGCAGCACTTCGCCACTTCGCAGCTGTTTTGGGTGGCATGTCAGACAGGCGGGTAATCAACATAAAGCCGCAAGCCAGAGATCCCTAAACCCTAAACCCTAAACCCGAAACCCTAAACCCTAAACCCTAAACCCTAAACCCTAAACCCAATGCCCCTTCGTTGAAATATGGGGGTTTTACGAAAGCAGGGGTCCCCAAATATATAGATCCCCAAATCGTAGGATGCCCTTGGCATAAGGACCCCAAGAAGGTACCCCCGATTTCGGAGACCCCCCATATGGACATTTAGGGCTTAGGGTTTAGGATTTAGGGTTTAGGGTTTAGGGTAAAGCTCCAGCTACCCCACCGGACCGACGCCTCGATCGGCAACACTCTCAGAGGGATGGTTTAGGGGATTTGTGTGAGGTTAGCCCCATAAGGGTTTAGGACTTATCGGCCGAAATCTTAAACCCTAAGACCTAAACCTTAAACCCTAAACCCTAAACCCTTTAGGCGCTTTAGGGCTCTCATACACAGATTGTTTAGCACCGCCCGCGCCGCGCCTCTTGGATCTCAGCAGGCGGGGACCGGGATGGGTGGGGGGGGGGGGGGGGGTTGGGGGGGGTTTAGGGTTTAGGGTTTTTGGGTTTAGGGTTTTGGGTTAAGGGTTAAGGGTTTAGGAAAATTTTGGCAGGCCTTGAGAGGTTTTAGAGGTTTAAGGGGCTTGGGGGGGGCCTATAGGGCTGTCGACCTGTTCCACCTGCTAGGCCCCACTGAGCAACAGCGGGCCCTTTTGTTTTCTTAGGTTGCAGCAAACCCCTAAACCCTAAATCCACAACCCGTCCCCTGAGGGTCCATGTACCTAAATAGGGAAGACTTGGGCCCTAAAGTACCTCCTATTTAGGGACTTTAGGGCCCAAGTACATAGTAATGAGGTACATGGACCCTTAGGGGTCTGGCATCCGAGTGTGCCAACCATTGGGGATTTGATGGCATCGGATTCAAGATCTCGGTGTGTCTGTGTGTGTGGGATCTAGGGTTTATATGGTCACTTGCCTACATCACTAGTTACTACATGGCGGCCCCTAAACTTTAGGGCACCCAACAAGAACCATCATGGAGAGAACTGACCAGCTAATGTCCTTTCTATGGCGAATACTGCGGCCTTCACCCCGAGGATTCAACGCATAAGCCTCGACCCTACACAGTAAGCCCAAAGCCTTTTCCCTCAACTCTAAAACCCTGCACCTAAACACTACACCCTAAACCCTACACCCTAAACCCTAAATCCTAAACCTTGAGCACGACATCTGTTCGACGCTGAGGTTTCGTTCATCACTTTAATCCACCAACCGTAAATGAGGCCGTTCAGTTCAGGGTTTAGGGTTTAGTAAAGGGCTTAGGGTGTAGGGCTTGGGGGAGGGGGGGGGGGGGAGCGAAGGCATCATAGTTGCAACGTACAGCCCGCCGCGTTCTACATGTCAGGAAGACCCTAAAGTTGGGGTTTTCGGGATCAGGGTTTAGGGACCACAACTATACCC